CTTAACGAACCGAAGTTGTGTTATTGTAAAGAAAGTTAGCATTAGGTAATCATATGAATAGGTTTTCTTTGTACCTGAATGATTGCGTAGCCTTTGGACACACAAAGTCGAAGTCAAAAAATCAAGGTTTAAAAATGTTTCATCGTTTCATTTTTATAGACTTTTGTTTATGTGGTTTGTTGTCGTTGTTCAATTCAATTCGTATGCTTAATAATTATAAGTATGTGAATATGTGTGAAATGTACTTTATTTCTTTCTCTCCCAAGTCGCAATACAGCTATTTTCTGCTATGAATTTTAGGTCTGTCTATACAACAGGAATCATGACAAAGACCCCTGATTGACTTGAAACTGATCAAGTTGCCCCGTCAAAAAGATTCGTCGGTTTGGCGTATAACATAATTTACCTATTAGGTCTAGTTTATTTCGAAGTTCCAACACACATGATTGATATGAAGATATCAGCATGAGCATTATACTATTGGTAATATTTTACGAGTGCAGCGTAGTGTAGCGAGGTTAGGTATGATAACATAAAAGAAAACATTAAATACGATGTCTATTTATTTAGGAAACATTTTTGTTAGGCTGTTTGGGAATTTTCATAGCACTTTTCATTGCAAAAAATTCGTTGATCGCTGACAGTTCAATGACGCGCCAAATTCTCAAAAGGTTTCCTTTTTGGCGCGAATTTATTAAATAAAGCCTCACCTTATAACATAAAACCTTATTCAATTATTTTTATTTTTGAATTGAATGAAACATATTATGTAGTTTAAAAAAGGAATTGTTGTTTAGCCTAAAATAAAATTGACAGATTATTAGATTTATCATTAGACTTAGGTATTTATTGTTTGAAATAAAAATGTAGGTAATTGTCTAATATAAAGTTGGACAGCCTAAATCAAATTCGTAAATAAGTAGACATCGTTACAACAAAGTAATATTCTATGTGCTATCCATATTATACATAAGAACTTTATGTAAACATTAACAATATGCGTTGTTTAGTTTGTATCATAAATACTTGTAGTATTGTTGCCAAAAATAAAAATCATACGAACATTTCTCTACCAAATATCATTCGGTCATAAAATTAATATCACAAAATAACACGGTCAAATGATAATAAAATAGCAAAATATGTCCTCTTAACATTAAGTGTAGCTACTCCTCGATTTAAATAATGTTCAAATCATGCGGGTTTGTGCCAATTTCTATTATATATCACAGATTAAGCCAATATGAAATATATTTATACGAATATGTATGTACACAAGATAAAATCGGAATATAACGAATGAAAAGGAAGAGGGACATTCACTTACTACCCAAAGTTATGTTATATGCAGAATTATTGTTTATTGATTACTTCGTAAAGTTAACTTAAACTTTCGTAAAATAACAAATACACGTTATATTTGTTCGGCGTCATTTTGGTCACATGGAGAATAGAGTACCTACGTATAATTCTATTTGTCTACGTGCAACTGTTTTTTTAAATTAGACATTCCAACTTTGTGACAGCGACACCCTGCAATAATCACCAAATAATCATATCAAGCAATTTAAATTACAAAAATAGGAAATAAACTTTATAATTAATTACATTCCCTTAAACACTTAAACCGCACTGATATGCTTTTAAAACTTCACAACTTGGAATAAAATCAATTTTAATGTCCGTCGGACCGACCTAATGTTCGAAATTATTTTACACAAGTAATATAAAATTTTTTTTTTATTATTATTTTATAATCGAATAAGTATTAATACGTTATGTGCTTGGTTTGTTATTTGTATAGCGGCCTTTACAGTTTAGTAAAACGGTTTGAATGTGGCCGAAATTATTTACAAAATATTGTAGTAATTTTTGTTAATCCTCATTGAGGGACCAATACGATAATGCTTAATGAATTTAGTAGTATTGTAATAGTTAAATTATCTTGTAGATATGTAATTTATTGAAATTATTCTTTATATAGATACAATTGCATGTCAGAGGTCTAAATGCTAGAAGCATTTTTTGCCAGCCACTTTTTCAGTTTCCATTTTACTAAGCTGCAAGCACGGTTTTTCAACAGGCACTGCCTTATAATGAAAACTTACGTACATAAAGTTATTAAATTAATAGGTACGGCAACGATTGTGCATAATGTATGTATGTATATATATATATTGGTATATAATCTCCTAACCGCTACAGTCCAGTATTTAACTAATAGATACATATCTAGTGACAATGCGACCATCACGCACCCCCTGTTCATTTAATATTTTCCGAACTAATCTATCTGAGATTCGCATGTTTATAGAAAATATTAAATACTCAGCCGTGTGTTCATTGTTTCGTATTTACTATATCTATAATATTAATTTTAATCTCACTGATTTTTTGATAACATAATTAATTTCTAGTAGCTTTATATTCTTATTAGCGATTATTTACAGTACAATAGATACCGAATACTCTTCAACGTTTTGTTACCGTGTTAGCAAAGTTGACATTTTGGATTCGTTCGTTAGTTTTGAACAAATGAAAGGGCGGCCATTGCTCTTTTGTGATGCTCATAAAAATAAGTCTATTTTTTTTATAATTGTGATTGTATTTCTTTTAAAAGCGACTCATTTCTATGATTATTATTTCTCTTTTCCGATCGGATTTGAAATTAAAAATTCAGGTTACACTATATTAAGGTGTAACATAAAATGATTCGTAGCTGCACGATTTATTTATCGACTTTGTATCTTTGAAAGTACTTACTAACTAATACGTTGTTAAAAAGAAATTTAAAATTCGTTATTCTCATATATCACTTGTAACAATAAAAAGATTTATATTCGATTCGAAATTTAAACAAGGTTTCAAATAAAAATTGAAGTTGGTAACACAATTTAAATACGCTTAGAGCAGTAATTATGGGTACTTGGTAAATGTGAAGTGTCACAAAATTTTAAAAAATGTGTTTTCTTTTCGTTGTTTAACATACTAATAAGTCCAGTCAATAATGATACGAACTTGATAGTTTGCTAAAAGTTCCGAAAAATTGTTTACTGTGTAGATTTGAAAGACCAATCTATTCTTTGTGTTTTAACTTTGTCACTTTTACGTGTTTTTGTCGGTTGTTAGCCATATGCCTCCTTTTGATATCCTTGCCTCTTAGTTCCCTTTTTTGAAGACAGGATATTATAATGTGTATGAACAAATGTAAAATGGACCGTCTAGTAATAATTCGCACATAGGTACGTTAATGGAGTCCTTAGTTAGGATTAGAAGTGATTTAATCTTTACCTGAATCATCTTTATCATGAATGCAATTTGGGAATATTGTAAATTGGTAGGATTTAAGACATTCAGTTGTCCAGGGAGATCTCAACGTTAGTTCGCTGCGCGACGTCATTGCGACGCGCACGCTGCTTATGAATGAGAGCTCCGGTGTGCCTTGAAATTAGTTGAGCTTTTCTGATTTAATTCTCGTGATTAAGTCATTATTGTTGTCATATTATGTAAAATAAATTTTCGTAGCAATTTAACTTCAAAATGTTTATAATAAACAATTTTCACCATTCGCACCTCAACAAAAAAATGTGTCCCAAATTCGCCTGCAAAGTAAACGGTTATCATTTTTACTGAACTACTTAATTGACTGGACTAATGATGTTTAAATAATACAAAATAAGTTATTACTGGAATGTAAGAAACTGTATGCTGTATGTAGTTGCTGCGGGATTAGACGTAAGCATATCATCTGACGTTAAAAGATATTTTTACATGGCACTGAAGTTAAAATTTCGGAAACGTAGTCTTTCGAAGAACACTTATTTAGTGAGTATTGAACAAATAACATGTATTTGTACTTTAAAGTATTTTTAGTAGACATGGGGTACTCATTATGCCGCTACCACGTCTAAAACATCTAACGTTACTAAATGGTCCAAATTTAGTATGTAATGTATAAACGCTGCTACATCAGGTGGCGAGATAGTACGGTGGACCCTTCCACGAAATATACAATTTGTTTGAGAGGCCAACTCAGTATAACCAATACTGTAAAAAAACAAATGACATTCTCTGAAAGACAATATTCAAATAAACAAGTTGTACCATAATCCAAAACCGAAATATTAGTGGGAATAAATGCATGATGGGTCGGGAATGTAAAACAATATTTGTATGACTTCATTGCTACAGCTCTGTTATTGTCATAGAACGATTACAATATAATTAATCTGAATATTTTCATCGTAGGTACCTAATTATTTTGGTCTTGGAGTATGGTCTAATGCATTAGAACTATGTGAGAATAATGTTACAATTTCTGTAAGTATACACGAATGTCAGAGTAAATAAGCTATGAATAGCTTATATAATATTGAGCCACTGAAGTATATAATATATTATATTTAATTTTCACTATTTAAAGCTCTTAGTTTTCATTCATGCGAATTCTATTATCGCATCGAATACTAATGCCCGTTGTGCCAAACGCAGCTTTAACGCAGAGCCATGGACAGTGCGGAGTCGACACATTACTAGCAGTCCGCACAGGTGACGCGCGAGTAATGTGACTGACGCCTCAGTACCTGATACATTAATGGCTCCCGTTAACCCACGTCGCGCGTTGGGCAACAAAGTTATTAAGATTATATTAGAAATAACAACTAGTAAACTTTTATAGAGTGACTAGAATATATTATTAAAAAACAAAAGCTTTGCTTTTGGCATTTCGCATAGAGTTTACACACTTTTTATAAGAATTGCATTACACGTGTAAATGTCCTTAACACTCACTTACGAGTTTGTTATGAAGGTCACTTGAATGTATGTAAACACTGCACTTGTTCGTGTCCTATGTTTATTATTTAAATGGTCATAATGTTCACTATTTCATAAGATTATAGAACTTGAACCAGAATAATAATTATCATCAGCCCCTAAATATACCAGCAACGAAACCTTGTATCAGCCAATAGTCAAAGAGTACGTACACTACAGGTCCATTAAATGGTCCATACTTGCACTTTCTCTGCTATAACACACCAGCTGGCCTGATCGTAGTATGAAGACACCACGTGGAGACTCTCCACGTACTTCTCGATCAGCTGGTCTAGTTCCCCACGCTTGAAGACGTGGTAGTAGCGATGGTAGGTGACCGCTCCTCCTTCTGATGGCAGGCTGTCCGAGCCATCGCTCAAGGAAGGTAATAGCGGTGCGTGCGGGAAGGCACGAGGAGGTGGCATAGCAGGAACTGGAGCTGTGTCTTCTGATGATGAGCGAGTCTCCAACAGTTTCCTGTCTTTAGAACATTCGCTGTATGACGGCAGGGACGCGAGACTGGCGCAACCAAGGGATGCCGTGCTGCCAGTTTTGTCACGCCGGCTCCAGTCACTTCCTGCCGACGTATCACTCGATTCGATCGAGAAACCAGACTTCAATGGAGCTGTGCTGGCACTCGAACGAGATGTTACGGATTCAGGACTAATTTCCATCTTGTCCAAGTCACTTGAATCCGTCGATTGACCGACTTTCAGAGATGATCTCTTGTCCGTGCTAGTGCATAATGAGTCTACGCTGATTTCGGATTCTAAAGAGTATCCAGTTTCTAATGATTGACTCGTGTCGTATGATGCTCCCGAATCGATAGTTATTTCGGGATTACCATTACTTGACGATATTGCACTATCGTCATCTGGGTTTTTAGCGTCAATGTCCGGTAGTTTGTCGGTCAACACTGGTTTCGTGTATTGGACGTTGGCACAATTATTGAGGTAAATATCCTCTTCACTTGAAACCTTCATTGACTTCTTTAATTCCCTATATTTATTTATTATTGGGTCGACGTCTTTGGATCTCTTCTTGGTTTTCGTCTTAGAGAGGCATTTAGGGAAAAGCTTACTAATGTCGGTTTCTTGAACCTCATTCAAAGAAGCGATGTATTTGTTTCTTTCCTGCAATTCTGCACTTAACTTATTGAGGCCCTGCATTTCTGTGCTTATTTTATGGATATAAGGATCTTCCAAATGTTGTAAACTATCCGATAACTCATCTAGAATTTTCTGTGTGTTCCTATCCTCCTCTTCTCGTTTTAATCTGAGGGATATGCTCTTTTCACTACTGCTGCTACTGGGTAGATCAAAGTCTTCTTCATTTATTCGTTTTGAATATTGATCTATTTCTTGCAGTAATTTCTCACTTAACTTTTCTGCAAATTCAGTTAAGTGTTGACTACGGTCTTGTTGATCGGACCATTCTTCTTCAGTAGCAATCATGTCAGATTTGCAGGTTACCAATGGCTCGTTAGCCTGTATCCTATTGAAGCTTTCTGACTTGGATATTGATTTATCAGAATCTGTGCTGGAAATTGAAATGGAGTCGTATGGTAATCTAGTCGGACTCCTATGGGTTTTACTGAGATTTTCGTCTAGGGATCGTCCTTCTGGCCTGTTCGGGGATAGCCTATTCAAGCTCCAAGTGGAATTGCTGGTACTGCCTAGTTTTGGAGAGCGATCTTTAGATCTTCGTCCAGGAGAAAGTCGTTCTAGGCTGGAAGAACTTCCACTTGAGCTTGTATGGGATTGAGATCTTGATTCCAATATCCGTAAATCTCCAGGCGACAATTTATTTAAGCTCCAGTTACTACTACTGCTGCTGCTGGAAGCCCCTTGTACAATAGCCATCGCTTCAGCACTTTCAAGCTTTTCTAAATGCCTTCTCTTTGATCTTGGGCTGCTTTGGATAACCGTTTCACATGTTTCATCCAAAGAGTGTGCAACTTCGGCTGCAGCTTCAATTAGAGTCTGCGGACCCAATGTTGGTGGTACAGGAAGTTTTTCTGTTGAGGATGTTGGCTCTTCCTTCGTCTCGGATCCTGGATTTGGTAGATCTGTAACAATTACAACAGAATTTAATCATCATAATGTCAATTCTCACATCTATTTTTAAATAGTTGTTCTATATTGTTAATAGTTGTTGGATATTATAATGTTGCCACGATTGTTGAATATAGATAGATACTAGAGTATGTTTATGTTTGTATAAAATACACGTACCTTTCTCTAAAGCAGTTTTCTTTAATTCTTCAGGTACCACGCTTATGACGCTGTCCACAGAATCGGGGGAAGAAACACCGCTGGAGTCGCTATCCATGTCATCTGTGGCTGGATTAAATAATTCCAGAGACATGAGTGTGGGCCGGCTTTTAACTATTGGTTCCGCATTTCTAGATCCTCGAACTATTGGGAACGGAGGTCTTCTGCTTATACTACCGGATGGAATTCCCTTATTCAGCATTTCTTTGATCTGGCGTATACGCTCTTTACGTTTACGATCTGCAGACCTTGAGTCTAAGGTGTCGGTGCTTGATTTAGTTGTTTCTTTTGGCTTATACTGTGGTATTTCGGGTAGTTCTGCGACTGTTTGCAATGTTATTTTTGGGTACGGTTTGACATCTTGTAAAACTACCCGTGGTTGAAATTTGTTAGTTTCTGCTGTCAGTTTGTGTATTTCTTCGATGTCTTTGTTTATTTCTGCAAGTAACTCTTTAGTGACATCACTCGTTGGAGTTTCTTCTTCTTCCTTGATGGGAGGGATGGGATCAACATCTTCAAACACATCAATGGATGTGTTATTACTTAAAATAGGCAGGGGTTCCGGTTTTGCCATTGTTGTATCATCGGATTCAGACTTAGGAGGAGAGTTCGGCTGACTTTTAGACTGTGGTTTTAACGGTACTGTTGCCACAGAGGTAGTAGTGGAGTAGTTCTTTAAACTATATTGAGCTACTAAAATTTTATTCACTGTGGTGGGCGCTTGAACTGAATTCGGCGAGGCCGGTGGTCTTATTAAAGGAAAAGCTTGTTTGATTCTGGGCGATGGTAACCCTGGAGAGCTTTTCATTCGGGGTGACGTTGGAACAGAAGACACTTTAAGTCTGGGTGAAGTAGGTCCTGGAGATAATGGCGTGGGTGATAACGGATCGCCTGATCCGTCTGCTTTCGGGACGTAAATCACTGACGCAAAACTGTCTTCAGAATCTACACTGGTGTCACTTTGAAGGCTGCTGTCTTTAGAAGAATCAGACCCATCTTCTTTGGAATGTCTTCGTTCAGGATAGGTTTTGTCACTTCCAGTGTTATTGTCGCTTGGCGTAGGAACTTCTGGTGCAGGTCCGTGATTTTTCCAACCTTGGAGCATTCTTACAAACACGGTTACCTTATCTATATTCGTTGTAGACGTTTTGAATTTGCTAGTGAGGCCGTTTTTCAGTGACTGGAATTTTTTGCCGGTAGTCGCGGAAGTGGAAAATATTGAGTCCCGGATGGAATCTAGAACTCCGGGTCTCCGATAAAGATATTCTTCATTTAGTGAAGCCTGTTTCTGGATGTTTTTCCTTAATCTTTCCTTTTCCCTTAACCGCTCAACCGACATCAATTCCTCGTTGAGGGAAGTTTGTTTAAAGACGCCTGGTTTTTTACTTGGCTGTAACCTAGGCGTATGTATTTTAAAGTTAGGCATTTCTTCTACCATACTTTTCATGTCCGTAGGTTTGTCGAGATCTTCCTCGGCGTCGTCTTCATTAATCGACTTTTTTTGTTTTACTAGTCGTGGTTTCTTCCGAGGCTCGTTGATCTCTGGCACTGGAGCTGCTGCTGGCGGTGGTTCGGTTTCCTCGCCACCCAAGCTAGGTAAGCTAGACCTTGATCGTACTAGCGCTCGCCTCTCAATATCAGCGATGTCTGTCAAACTTCTTGACTTTATCGTTGACGCGTCCGAGTTTTGTGCTATTAATCTCGGAGGGAGTGCTTCGTCCAGACGCCGTAGCTCAATAGGTAGGTCAGCTGCAGGTGGTTCGGGTCGTAAGCAGGGTCGTTGTGGTACCCGAGCTCCGATGCTCCATGAAGGAAGGAATGATCTTCGTCCCGCCAATCGTTGTAGTGCTCTTCTTACAAATGAGTAACACGTCTCGTTGGGTGAGGAAAGGGACGATGATCCCGGGGAACCATCTCGGCTTTTCCAGGGCTCAGCATTACTGGAAGAAGTAATACATTTTAGAAATTAGTAATACTTTTACAATATTTATCTGTGAGGTACAGTGAATTGAAAACACTTACTGTTCATTGTCTACTGACAGAAATCTGGGTGCCGGTGTTGGCGGGCACAGCGTGACTGGCCGATGCCAAGGAATCAACACATCCTAAAAGTAAAATAAAATTTAGTTTCTATTTATGTAGAAAATGAAATATATTTACAACTCAATATCAGTAGTGTAGAATTGGGGTTCCTGGATCAAAAAATCCAGGAACCCCAATTCCACACATGAAATATACCTACTAGACTATCAATCAGTTGGGGCTAATCGTAAACTTATGATTCAGTTTGTAATATTCAGACTGGTTTGATTTTAAGAGCAACTGTTTTAATTCATTTAAAAACTGGCACAAATTCTGACTTGGTCTATTCTGTTATCTGGGTGTGTATTCATAATTCTAACCTGATCTGATCTGTTATCTGGGTGTGTATTCATAATTCTAACCTGATCTGATCTGTTATCTGGGTGTGTATTCATAATTCTAACCTGATCTGTTATCTGGGTGTGTATTCAAAATTCTGACCTGTTTCTTGAGCTTAATATTTAGCAGGTGTTTAATGAAATACATTTGGTCTTATTATTACGATATCTTTATTTAAATAAACAGTATCGAGAAACATAATTACAAAATCCAGACCCGAACAAACATCAACTCTTGTTCGTGTGGGAATCGAACCCACGACACTTGGTTTAGATGGTTAAAGAACATGTTATATTGCACTCAGTTGTGACCAGGGTCTTAACCATTAAGCCAAACGTGTCATCGAATATGTAACAAAATAGTGAAACACTTCAAGCACTTTGTTTACATTAATGATACGTGTATTGTATGACATCATTCATTCGATGCGCTTCCATATACGGTTTTCATTGCAACATGAAAGATTTCTCACTAACACAATTCTTTACGATGTTTTGCCACTGACTGACATATTCCCCTCCTTTCACAGCGTTTAAATAAAAACACTGTGGAAAATTTATAGCATGCTGCATCCAAGGATCATCATAAATTTCCCAATCTTCTATAATACCTCCACATGAAAAACATGCTGCTTTATCATATGGATTAATTCCGTAATAAAAGAATCCAGCATCAGCCATTTCCATCACTAATCTTTTCTTTGAATTATTCGTCCCCCAGTAATAATTAAAGGATAATTCACGTATTTTGTATGTATTATACATATCATATCGAGGTTTATATTTAGTTTGATACATATTTTATTTATTTAGTTACTAGTTCTTGATGCTAATAATTATAAACATAGAATGACATTGCTTTAATGCTGCAAGCAATTTATAAACGTGATTGTACAGGATTGGCAGAGATAGTAAACATATTGTAAAAAAATGAAACAAGTTTTTATTTATTTCATAAAAATTTTATTATCATGGCACCATTTATTTAAACACAATATATTTTTTAAAGCACATACAGAGTTATGATAAATACAATTATACATATCTTCAGAATGTTTATATTGATCATATAAATGTACTAAACTAGGACAACCTTTATCTTCTAAATTAAATATATTACTGTTACTATTTTCTAAAATATGCTTTAACCATAAAACTTTTTCCGAACCTTTAACATAAACACATTTATCTCTTAATATATCGGAAACCAAAGTCTGGTAATTGGAATAAGGTACAAATCCTTCACTCCAGTATATCTTTTTGTTACGTTGAATCCAAAGAACTACCTTTTTTTCAGATTCCGTTAAGTTTTTAAATGGAAATGGTGGCTTAACTAAAAACACTTGTAGTTTTTTGTTACACAGTATAGCGATTTCTTTTAATATAAATTCATCTGCTTCTGTTCTAAATCCCTGAATATCAACAACAGCAATCATGATAACCTGCGCACAATGTTGCTGAGAGGTTTGTATTCCACAAGTCGATCGTTTATAATCAAACAATACGCAGTTGTCTTATCTGGTATTGGTGTGGAACATTCAACTTCTAACCGCACGTCCACTGGACCGGTTTTCAAACTATCGTTTTGTCTTGAGCAATCTAAGATGAAAAGGGGGGCCTTTTCTTTAAAATCTGTTAGATTTAGCAATGGGTCTACAGGACTGTTGTAATACGACTGACGAAATTTCACATACATTTCATATAATATACTGTACTTGTTCTCAGAAAACTTTAAACTTAAAGGTTCGTAGGGATAATATTGCGAATTCAAAAAGAGTGTTACATTGGTCACTTCACAATGATCGAATAGTGAACTGTCTTTAGTCCTATTATTTCTCCTATTAGTTTGCAAGCAAAATATAACATATCTAGGCTTTTCCAATTGTGAAGCTGTTTTTACTGACCAAGAATGCTTTGTAGTTTTAGGTAGCAAGGGATACTCATATAAATCCCAATTTCTAAAAGCCATCTGAATAGGTTTATCTCTTTCTAAATGTTTTAAAAGTGTTAGTCGTTCTCGATCTGACACTTTTATATGTGGCACTCTCCACTGAACTCTTTGTATATCTATTTGAAAATTAACAACATCATCAGTCAGAATAACACTATTTAAGTTAGAGTTACTTCTACTCAAAATAAGTTCGTGTTTACAATTTATCACAATTTTATTGTAATCTTCTGCAAACCCTAAAACCTTATTCAATGGTATCACGGCACTAAAATGTCCATCACTTTGGAATCCCGCTAAGTTCCAACCCCATAAGGCTGCAACTTTATTTTCTGCTTCATTTAATGAAATGTATGATTTTATTGTTGACGTAATTCCCGAATTTTTAATGCGGTCTATTTCGATACCATTCATTTCGTATCTGATGTCTTGAAACAAAGACATAACAGGGTTATTAGTGAACGTAACAGTTTTCTTGATCGGATTCCCATCTTTACCGAACAGCCTTGCCTGTCCTTCGATGTAAATTGAACTGGCTGATGGTAGCACGTATATGTCTTGCTGATGTATGGGGATTCTGATTTCATCGTTTTCTCTAAAGCTGTTATTGTAGGGATTGTATGAATGGATTTCATAACTTTCAATCGAACTGTCGAAATGCGGTAATTCAGTAATCTGTAGCATATTCATACTTTAAACCCCAGGGCTTTAAGAAAGTCTTTATTTGCTTTAGTCAGTTTCTTAATTTTTGTATTACGTCTGTGCACCTTAGCGGTCGCAGAAGAAATAAACCGATTTATTTTTATTGGAGCGTTTTTATAATATACTATCATTTTGTTTTTCTTAAGTGCAGACGTAACTGAATATATTCTTGTTCGAAGTTAATACAGTGACCAAATTGATCAACAATCTTAACAGATATGGATGAAATTATATTTTTGTTCACTGGAAAGTAAATAACGTTTTGTGGTATCTCTATATAACCATGACTTAGAGCAGTATCTGATACAAATTCATGAATAAAATGTGTTGGTAATCCGTTGCAGTATGAACCGTACACAAGATCACATTCAATTTTGATCACAGACAGATTTCTAGTTTTAATTGGAATATCCGGTCTTGAATTAAATACTGAAAAGTATAGTAAACCGCACTCGTATTGATCAGATAAATGAAGAGGTGGTTGAAAATACGAGACCAGTTCTGATTTATTGCCAGAGATGGTAACCGTAGTAGACATGCTTATATACTGGACTGTTATGAAAGATCCCGTTTATTTTATTGCTTCGTTGACCAAAAATTGTTTAAGAAGTGTAAACAAAGATGTCCACAATTAAAGGGATGGTCACGTTGTATATTTTCATAATTGTAATTCACTTTAGAACCCGCATATTTTATGAATTCCTTTGGCGGCTTAAGATTTCCGTAACTATCAAAATACTCAATATAATCGTCGTATTTTGCATAGGCTACCCAATGAGAGCCAGAGTTTTTAGAGCTATCTAAATTAATAACACCACATTCTTTTTTGAAGGGGTATTTAGGGAGCTCATCTCTCATAAAAACACCTCTAAAATATGGGATGCTATTTCCAATCTTTAAAATGTCCAAGTTAGTTAAAGCTCGATTGGGTAGCCGATATCTTAGTTTTTTTCTTTTGATATGAATATTCCAAGCCCATCTTTATGTGGTTTAAGGTGTAGCCCTTTTCCGATGCAAAGAGCTTCCATTTTTTCATTATGTCTCTTTGACTCAGCTAACAGTTTTTTAGCCATCTTGAATTCATTTATGGTTTTAGCAATGCCAGCTGCACCACCTGCTAGAGCTCCAGCAGCAGATAATCCCGCAAAAATAGGAATTAAAGGTAGCACTCCACCAGTTCGTGGTATAGGAATGACTCGAGGAAGTTTAATGGATGAATTATCAGCTAATTCTTTGACAGCAGCCATAGCTAATTCTATCGCTGCTTTTTTGCATTTTGGTTTTAATTTTTTAATTTGTTTTTTCGTTTTGGTAATAACGCTTTTAAATTTATTTTTTAATCCTTTTCCAGTTGTATCTTTTTGAGAACACTTGTTGCTACATTTCTTTAGACCAGAACCAGTTTTAATTTTCATTGACATAGCGTTGCGTACTAAACGTGCCGCGAGTTTTTCACCTGGACTTGCATCCGAGGCAGCTGCTCGTTCTTTCGCCATATTTAACAAAGTTAAATCTGCCTTGTGACGATCCTCTAAGTTTGATGACTTGTGATAAGCGATATCGTGCTCCTTGCAATACTCGTCTAATTTATTAATACCTTTATCTCCACGTCTAAGCCTTTTAATTAAGTTTGTGCCAGGCCCACAATATTTGTAGCCTGGTAAGTGTAACTCAAATGGTAAATTATTTATTATCCAATTGAGAAGACTGCTCTCTCCAATACACATCATAAGACTGATAAGTTATAAATTGAACACTTAATAAATAGTATTGTTAAGTGAATTATTTTGTTACAATTTATTCGACTTTTCAATCCAGCTATTCTCAGAAGAAGGCAAACCTAACCATTTCACTAAAACTTTATTTCCTTTACTTCTTAGAACTTTCTCTACTAGATATACATTGGAATGTTTCGTTTTTTGAAGCTCTTCTGCATAAAATGCACCTAAAATAGGTCGACCTCTAATTGTATCTTCAATTAAATATGTAACAGGAGTTGTATTTTGTATTTTTTTTAATTTTAAATATTTCTGTTGACCAGTTCGGTGTATATCCTTTTTCAAAAGTTCCCTTATATTTACTTATACGCACATAATCGTCTACTTTAAACTTACTTTTTGTATTCACGTTTTTTACCAAACTTATATATCTTTCCAGTATACGTTTTTTATTTTTACTATCTACATTTGCGGGAATTTCATCAATTGTGCGATGATGGGTATGATTATATTTATAAACAACATTATCAAGAGTGTTATCTACCCATTTATAGTTTCCTTTTAAACTAAATTCTTTATACAGTTTAGATTTTAGTGTTCGGATAAATCTCTCAACAATTGAAGCTTTTTTTTGTTGAAAATGTTGAATAATGATTAATATGATAAGATTTCATAAGTGCTTTAAATGTATTATTATAAAACTCAGTCCCATTATCAGTTTGCAGATTTTTAGGCACACGTCCTTTATTTAATAATGTCTTGAAAGTGTTACTAACAACATCTTTGGTTTTACATTTCAAAGGAAAGGCCCATGCATATTTCGAAAATGTATCAATAACGGCGAGAATAAATCTATTTTTTTTATTTTCCTTAGAAATTGATTGCATATCTATTAAATCCGCTTGCCATAGATCATCTATATCTTTCATGATAACGTGTCTTCGTGAAAAGTTCACTCTAGCATTTTTATGAATTTCGTTGACCACATCGGCTTTACTCATGTTTCTTTTTGTCCCAGTTTTAATATGTCCCTTAACAAGTTTTATGTGATACTGAATAAAAGGCACATTATTCTTACTATTTATTCTTTAATAATGTCAGCTTCTTTTAATTCTTCAATTATTGAAAAAATTTCATTATCATGGTTTGTGTTGCCAGCATCTCTAGATGCAACTAATAATTGCAATCTCTCAACCAGTTCATTTGGGTCATCCCAATAAACTAAATCAGTGTTCTTTTTGTATTTCTTGAGCTTTGGCAAGTTTCCTCCATGTTTAGTGGGGGTTTTATCATTTGATATTTCGGAAAGCAGTGGTTTGATGATTGCACGGTATTTCGTTCCTTTATCGCCTCTTATTTGACCATTAGGATTAAAATCTCTTTTATGCGCATTTGTAAAATGCAACATATCCTTATAGACAAGCTTATCTCGGTCAGATATTAATTTTAAATCAGGTTTTCTTCGAAGTAAAAGTTCTTTTAGACCAGGGGTTAAATTATAGGCTCTGTCATCAATTTTAACCATAATTACATTATCGTTATTCAAGTTTTCTATTTTAGAAAAGGATACTACTGAATTGCCCATCCATAATTTTTTATTTTCACTTCTTATCCCGAAAGGTATATTTACACCATCATAAATATCATGGATATCATACCCTTCTAATGAAATTTCTAGGTCATCTGGTGCTTCCATTTTAGGTGACTTTTCAAATAATTGTTCAGAATCTTGTTTAGGATCGTAACAGTCTTCAAACTTTGCAAATGAGCTAGTTTTATTGTCATCAGATTCAATGCTGTCATTATTACTGAAAGTTGTATTTTCCACATTCCTACTTTTTACTATAGATAGATTTGAATCAACTAGGGTTTTAAGAGGATCTGCAATAGGTTTCAGCATTTTATCGAGTGAAAAATTCATGACGTATTCCTGGGTCTTCATTTGTTTTATTTTATTCTTTATGGAGTCTACTGACTTCATTAACTCTATTCTAATATTTTTCTCCATCTTACGTTAAACGACTGCATTCACTCATAGAAGAAATAATACTAGTTTTCATTTATTTGGTATTCATAATTATATATTATATCAGTTCCCACCACCAACATTCATGAAATTTCAAAAATATATCAAAATTCTTTCTGTACCCTCCATGACTCAAAGAATATTCTTTGTGAACGAGTATGAAACTGTAAGGATTACTCCAAACGTTCCTTGACCATATATTTTCTACATGCACTTCCTATGTAATTGTGAAGCAGTCATTAGGTACATGGCAGATAAAAGATACATTTATTTATTATTCAAAGTTAATGAAATTATCAAATGATTTTCTATATCTGCCATGTTTCAAATCACAGTCTTTATTGATAGTCAAAAAATCGTATGGACCCAACCATACTTTTGAACAGAGATGTTTGAATTTGGACCATTCCATATCTGAACTGACATGTTCATCATAAATATGTTTTAAGTTTATATCATCTTGTTTGAAGATAATCAGAAAGTTAACATTGTCGCGTAACAACTGCTTTGGTACTTTTGAATAAGTCTGAGATAAGTAAAAACAATCTATTGCTCTGTGCCTTCCCATCGTAAAATAATTACGTATATTTATTTGTTTTTCACCAACCACGTCATCAAATATTATTATAGAATTAGGTAATGCATCATTAGGATGAATCACATCTTCATCGAATTTAAAAGTAAATAGTTTCACACTTGGAATTCTATCCAGAATTTGTTTGAGAAAGCGATATTTTGATTGTGAGCTTGTTTTGGAATACAAATATATGTTTTGAAATTTTAGCCCATTTTCATGAATTAATAAGCTTAACATGACGTTAGTTTTTCCACAATTAGAAGGACCACATATTATACTGCGGATGTTATTCGGGAGAAGTACGCTATGTTTCGGGTGCGGCGTATTCTCCTTCACATCAATATTTTTAACTGCTAAGGATACCGGGTGTTTAATCCACTTCATTTTTGTGTCTGACATAAATAATGTTTGTTCTGGTATTTATATACTTACAAGAGATCAGGTTATTCTTTTTCTTTCATACAGCTTAGACTTTATTTCATATAAGAATAAAATCAACTGATGAAAGATATTAGCCAGTCAATCAAGATATTATCGAAATTAATCACCCGGGATATGCCGAATGTACTTAACATTACTCGAGGAGGCTATTTTCATGCATCGCATATACATTATAAAATCACTTTATATATCATAAATATCAAATCCTCAGTAGGTAATTAAATAAAACACATATAATTATAATTTATATCATAATAATTTATTTCCATATATATTTTATTACATAAAGCACAATAATTTTTATTATTAAAATTATAAAAGTCGTTAGTGTATAACATTAGTTAGCATACATGATTACAATGACCCCAAGGTACAGTGTCAATTTGATTTCTTAAAATTTGCCTTTTATCGTCTATTCTGTTCAAGACTACTTTATTTACTGCTTCTGAGAATAGCACATGTTTCATTGATCTGATCATATTCATTTTACGCTTTAAAGTAAAATTTTTAAATAAAACGTGCTTATAGTTACGTGATTTTAAACTCCTGGTTATAGGTTTTGATACACCTTTAGCTTTATTAATTTGCATTTTTAGTGATTTTATACAGTACAGTTTCGCTCTTAAGCCTATAAATTCAATAATTGGGTCACCTCCTAATTCATCCTTAAATAAACCAGGTATTCTTTCATTGACCTTTGGAATACAGTAATTATTGTTAGATTCAAAATTACTTGTGTCAAATTCTGTTAAATTTTCTCGTATATCTTTATATATGTCGTTAGTATTAATTAAATACAACAAACTGTCTGTATCAGTGTAACACAATTTAGCTTTATCACCATATTTATTCTTAATAAAATTATAATGAAAATTGTACAAATGTTGTTTAGAGTATTCTAATACCGCAAATCCAACATATATTGGTCTATCTAATACAAGTTTTTCTGGACTGAGTTGTATAGCTAAAAGTTTTCATTAAATACAGAAATACTTTTTAAATTAGGTTTTGCGATTAATTTCTCAGCACCTACTATTTTGTTCGTTTTGTTCGAATAATCACTCCATTTACTTATTAATTTCACTTCGACATGCTTTCGTTTATTTTCTATTGTTTTTCCAAAAATTGAATTATTAAACAATTTAAAAAAATCTCTTTCAAATGAAGTTAAAGCTGCTTGCCGTAGTCTAGTATTCAAATCTATATATTTTTTTAAAAAACTTTCTTGTCTAAAACAAAGGATTCTATGAATTTTTTTCAAAAGCAAACCATTTTTGAGACATTCTTTTAAATGAACATAATGAATAATGTAATTATATTTATCATACAAATTTGCGATTAATTTTTGCGTTTTCCCTCCAATAGGAGTGAATTTCTCTGGAGCAAAAGGCAAGTCACTATGTAAATTATGTAAATGATTTGGATACGTTATATCTACTTCTAAAATGTAACCGAACTCTGAATTATCAGGAATATTAAGCACATTGAAATATTTCATATCATTATCGGTCATGAACTTAAATTCTGAAACGGGTAATTTTTTCGTCATAGCATATCCGTAAAGATTATTACAGTCTAAGTAAATTAAATATGTTGATGGCTTTGAATTATCGAAATGAGGTAAATAAACATTATTAGCTTTGGCATATCGGTGAGAACATTGAGCTAACCCTCCTCGTATTCCTCTTTCCAACATTTCGTAAATTTCTAAGTCATGAATCATTTCTAACTGAACACCTGTGTAAAGGAGCATAGCGTCCCAACTCAATCCAGGTGAACTTACATAATATGCAGGATCAAGTTTATAATGCTGGAGACAAATGTTTCTGAAGTTTTCAAATATATCACATAATAATAGTACATCACACTTTAAATACAAGTCAGTATATTCACCAAGAGAAGTAATATTAAAAAGATTCCACACAATTTGAGCATGTTCATATTCATCATCAGTTATGTGTTTCATTTGTAAAGAGTTATAAAATTTATCCTTGTCAGGGAGTTGTGTTTCATTGTATTTAGCCCATGTACAAATATATTCATATGGGTAAATACCTTTCTTTCGCATTAAATTAAATTGATTTTTGTCCCGGAAAGTGTGTGAATAAATGAATAAAATCATTCTCCGTTAAACTTTTACTCAAGTTGTCAAGACTTGAACTAAGAAATTTAAACGAGTCTATAAATTTAATTTGTATTGGTTTGCATCCTTTACCGGTATTTATTATTTTTGTTATGGTTAAATATTTTTCTTTAGTTTCTGCTATAATTCTTATCTCACCTTCATATTTCGATAATTCAGTTATAAATATATGAGAATCGTAACCAACTAAATTGTGAAATATAACGGGTATAAAGGGACAAACTGTATAATTTAAATTGCACTGCGAGTGTGCCGCACCTCTGTACTCAGATGTTATATGATCATGGTCACAAACTTTATCACCAAATAATAAATCATTACAAATATGACATGTAGTTGCATTATTATAATTATCAGTCTGATCTCTTGTCATTGGTCTCATAGGTTTCTCTGTTAATAAAATGTTATGAATTAATTTCGCTTCTTCAATCAATCTTTTAATAAATACTTCTACACAGTCAGGTCCTCTATATGATACAAATTTATTTAAGCTGCTATCATGAGAACAACACACGTAGAATGCAAAACAGGACGGTTGATGTAGTTTATTCTTTATTGTATTTTTATCATTCTGTTCCATTTTACAGTTTAACAATATACTTTCAAAGTCAGCGTATATTACAAAATTAATTTTTTGCTTTCGCTCATAATTTTTGAATTTTAATGTACTGTTTTTATCAGGTAGTACGGTTAAAATTTTAGAGCAACTATGAGAATTATACTTCATTTCAGAAGTAAAAAATTGTAAACATGTCTCACATAAATACATTCGTCCCTTATGGCATGAAACTTGTCGTCGTACTAAACGTAGCAGATTTTTTATCAAACAGTAATGACCTTTATTATGTTTTTCAAAGTACAGTAAGTTAATATGTTTATCTTTCCTGCAATTCGTCACATAAATAGGGCCAGTTATAGTACAATGTTTATCAAATCCATAAATATTAATACTCAAGTCACAATTATTTTTTTCAAATAATTTTATATCTTTATGTGAAGGTGGAAATGAAATTCCTTGTGTATTAAGTACTTTACTAAAATGTGGATAGGAATTGACCCTGCAAACATTATTTTTAGCTGGATATAGTGCTGCAACTATGCTCCACAAAAAACAGTATTCATCATTATTATGTATATTCAAACAGCTCTTTGTGTTTTTAATAACATCTGGTAGCTCTAAATAAGTACCACCCCGCATGGGGCAATATTTATTTATATTTATTTCTAAATGATTTATTGAAACAAATGACCATCCGGATTGACAATGTTCAAATTCGGTAAATTTTCTTTTAAATGTTTCTATTACATTCAAATATGTCTCATCAAAATCAGTATTATTATATATAATTTCATATTTAGTATTAAATGACTTAAGCTGTTGCTCACCTAACGTAGGCAGTAAAAAGTAAGCAAACAGCTCGAAATTAACTTTAATGCAGTTATGTCTCATTAATAACATTTTAATTATATTATAAACATCTTTTCGCTTTTCATCTAAGAACGCCTCTGGTGTGAGGTACTCATTTCCTATAGATGGATTTAAGCGATAAGTCAGAATCCGGTTTTTAAATGCAGTAGCTATAATATCAACATTTTCAAAATTTGACTTTACTAAACAATTTGATTTATGGATATTCGTTCTCTTATGGTATCTGTATTTATGTTCGGGGATCTCAATTTTACATTTCTCACAATATCTTTTTAATAAACAATTAGTCTCATTAATATTCGTTTCATATTCATGTTCTGGGATCTTAGTTTCGTATAAATCATTATAAGTATCTGAACTTGCTGGTGTCGCATTACTGGCTTGTGTAACTGGAAACAAAATAAATATAACACATTTTTATCGTACTAAATACTTTAATTAAGAGATAGTGGGTTACAAAAAAACTTAAAAACTAATTCACTGTATATAATGTAATATGTAGGAGTACCTATGATTAATATATGATTATATATGTTATAAAATAACTGATTACATGTAATAATATCTCGTACCAATAATTGAGTATAATACATAGGTACTTAATTACTGGTATGAACTTATAAACGTTGGAGTACAGCGTTTGAACTCCCGCCTAGTACTTATAATAAATTCATTCAAGTGCCGCCAAGATTCAGAATCTTCGTCCGTTTTATTTTTTATAGTGATCACTGAGTGACGCCACCTATTCACGGGTTGAATCCGCTCTATCTCATCACACTTGTAAACCTTAAGTTCAATGTAGAACGCACCTTTTTTATTCTCATCTATTTGACGAGAAAAGCCATTGGCCAGTCTCCTTGTGACGTAGGAGTAAATAACCGGAGGCTTCTTCTCCGCGGGTACGTCTACCGCGTCGTCGTCGCTGTCACTCCCAAATACTTCGCGAGCCGTAGACTTGGTAACAGGAGGTATGGGGCGAATAACTGTCTTGCTTTTCTTACTGGTAGACGGCTGGGGGCTGCGCGTTGGCGTCGACTTACGTTTCTTGTTTTCCTTTGGTTTGGCCTTCATCTGCACCTCGTCCAACGATTCGTCCTCCGAAGGGAAAATATGGTCAGCAGTGTGTTTGGACCTAGAAAATAAAGATAAAAAATATTAGATAACATTCACATAAATTGCGAATTGAGTGATCGAAGAAAATGAATGAAAGTAACTTGAATGATTGAATAATAATAAAATGAAACATGAGGAACATGAATGAACATATTGAGTAAGCATGATTGACAGAATACTAAATAAAACAAATAAACAGTGTTTGGACATAGCAAATAAAAATATTGGATAACATTTACATAAATTATGAATGGAGTGATTGAAGAAATGAATGAAACTAGCTTGAATGATTGAATATTAAGAAATGAAACACTGAATGAAGTATAGCAGGTAATACTTACATTTTAGAAGATTGGTGGTTTTTAGGTACTTCCTTCCAAATTTGGATGTGACTGCTTCTAGCTGAAGAATTGTTATGATCCAGTCCCTGCAGATGATCTCTTAAATAGCACTATATCCACGTGACGGTATACCAATTAGGGAATAGGGCACGGGTTTGCTAAAATGCTTTGTCAGATCTACCACCCAAATACGAAATTGTTTAAGTTGCAGAAAAATAACTTAGCAACATACCGAGATCATGCAATATCAACTTTATCTACTTCATCTAAGACATAATATAATTTAATAACACTGAAATGTAGATCTCATTCAGATTAAATAATACATACTTATTACACCTGGGTTTGTCTCCTCCTTTACGTTGGTAAGCAAATATAATAGTATGTATACAAATCTGTCACCATTTACCTCATAAAGCTCGAAAGATTGCTTTCTAACCGACTTCAAAAAGGAGGTTATATATTTTTTTTCATTAGAGAATACATAATATATCAACTATTATATATACACAAGTGAAGTGGCGGGGCAAGCTAGTTTATTAGTATGGATGAACAAACTTACACAAAAACCGATTTCGATATATGTAATAAATTACGTTTAATTGCAATCCGAAGCGATGTAGCGCCGTGTTGTCTAGAGTGTAGAATTACATTTACAATGTTTTTAAAGTACTGATAATTTCGATGCAAATTTGAGCTTTATGTCCCTTTTAAAATGTATTTTTAAAATTCTATATAAAGGATATAATCATGCGAAAAAATAAAAATAATTTAGTTTAATTCCATCAGCGAGCGGGGGCAAAAGACTCTATCCTAAAATAAAATATGTCGGTGAGTTATTTTCTTTAAATATAATTAATTATCATATAATTTTTTAATGTAATAACTTAATTGATTGAATGCAACTTAATAATTGTTACACATTTATATTCAATATTACACGCTTCTAATAACGATCATTTGAATTTATAAATAATATATACCTATAATATGAGTGACAAATTGATATTGATTCTTATTATTATTTTTAGGACTATGAAAACGACCTGTTCAACTTCATTCCCATGAACAGGGTAGCGGAACAAAAAAACGATAAACAGTTGAACCTAGAAGGTCCTAGCAGCAAGCAACTGAAAAAATCTTCAACGGCTGCATTTACCTCTGTAAAAAAACTTACACGAGGTGCTAAAATTATAAGGATCGAGATTTATGATACCGAAAACTTCCCTGATCATATAAGTTCACTATGCAATTGTGATGCTGAGTTATGTGTGCAGCATGTGGTTAAAAATGTTTTTATGGACGATATTTATAAATCTGTTAAAGAAATTGCTTTAAAAGTGTCAGATATAATGCCATAAATAAAGTTCAATCAATTATTATTCAATAGTATTTTTTTTAATAACCTTCTACTGAAATGATGATTTTTATAACCTCTTACGATACATTTTATTTATCATCCAGTAGTTTTGATTCCTAAATTCCAATAAAAAGTGTAGGGTTTGAACCCGGAACGCACGACTGACTGCATTCACATGTTCGAAAAATCATATGAGTGAGCCTAGCCTGGATGTTATCACGAAGTTATCACGGAGGTAAGGTAAAGGTGTATGGATTTGCGGTTGGTAATTTGGTAATGGTTGTTTGTAAGTATAAATTATCCATGTCACTATATCCTTTAGGGTTTTGTAAGCTGGTGACCTATAATTGTCCAGTTTTATAGACAAAGGCTTAATTACTCTTTCTTTTAGAAGGATAAGGGCCCTTGGCTTCTCAGCTGAAATGAGCCAGTAAAAAGGTTGATAATAAATCAATTCGCATAAAGTGCTGTAAGTATGTCGACAGTCTATATAAGGCGACTATGGAATTCATCTGAGCGCATTATAATTTCAGGGCTGCTATGTGCTGAATAGACGATGCAGTGGAATATAGAATGCACTTATAAAATAAATACCAATGGAAATAATGATTAATTATTATTAAGTTGTTATATCGAAGGGGTATATTAAGTTCTTCATTGAAATCAGTTCAGAAGTATATGCATTCATCGTTTCATATGTATAAAAATGTATAAATAAACAATATCAATAACAATGGAGTGAAGAATAGGATCCGTCATTTCGATATCATAATTAATCCATATTATATAAGTTATCATCGTGTGTGGCGCTTGGCTGTATACTTATAGCGAACCGTAGGTATGCTTGTATTCCTAATTTGGAAGACGGCTGCATTCTTTTGTTAAGTTTATTATTACCTATTCATTATGCACATATTTCAATTATAGGAGCTTTTTTTGGCCAGTTCATTACATATGTCAATCGAAGATTATACCTACTTACAAATAGGCAGACTGATTGAAGACCAGTTTAACCAGACAAATTGAATCATAAGTTTACGATTAGCTCCAACTGATTGATAGTCTAGTAGGTATATTTCATGTGTGGAATTGGGGTTCCTGGATTTTTTGATCCAGGAACCCCAATTCTACACTACTAATATCATGAATATGCCCAAAATTAATTTATCAGAAAGCTGTTTGTAACTGGTAAGAACTTTAACTGATTACCAACATCAGGGTAATTCTCACCTGTGAATGGAAGTTGCGTCCCTCATGTTCCATAGCCCAGACAGTGAGAAGTAATCTTCCACCTATCCGGGTGACTCTTGCCAGCTCCCGTAACGCCATCGCTCGCCTCTCCACCGTAGCGAAGTGGTGAACGACGGCGATGGATAGGACCGCGTCGAATGACTCATCGCGGAACGGTAGGCACAAGTTGTCGCACGCAACCACCTGCGAAGTTGACAAGTTCTTTACTGAAGATGATTGCTGATTTAAGCGACAAATAAGCCAATGTAATACAGAATACACATCGGAGGCGTATACACTGTTGAAGTGTTCAGGAAGCTCAATTTCTGGTAGCTCAATGTTTCTCATTCAGAAACAATCTTCGTAAAAGTACTCAATACTCAATACTTTCGTAAAAGAAGATAATGCATATACAAAGATTACCACATTTCTCTATATTTTTAAGATGAATATACAAAGAAATTTAGTATTATAAATGTTGTTAGTTGGAGTATTGGAGCGCCTGTATTACTATACTTTACTAATAACGAAGCGATTGTAAGTAAAAGTAACTAAATTTAATAGCAAGCAAGCAATTGGATACAATTCTAAGCCAATTTAAAGATGGTTTTTGACCTATTTTTGCCTGAGATCATCAACGGATGATTTCAATTATACATACAGTTGAAAAGTGGGTGAACAAAATGATTTTGCGGTGACTGACCTCATTGTTGTGATGTCGCGCTTGCGCAGTGAGTCGGGTACACCGGTCCCCTCCTACAGTGTACACGGACGGATTTACGCTAAGGTATTTGCCGTTTCCACATCCTGAAGACAAAACAGAACATCATACTTTAGTATGTACCTATACTGCTTTCTTAAAATAATGTTCCTTGTTACGCTGCTTGGACCGATCTGATATTTGGAATAGGAAAAATATGAATTGATTTTTTTATTAATAGCTCAGTGTCTGAATTAAAGGTCCGTTTTTCTTTTCATATATTGTGTCTTAATTCTTGTGTAACTGTTTTTCTTATGATGCGTCATAATAAAGCACAAAATATTCTATTCTAGAGAATGTATTTGTTGTTAAAGGGCATGTAACATTACATTATAATGTCGTATGTGGGCTTAATTACAAATTGATGTACAGCAAATGTTTTCTGAATTTGTTGATCTATTTAAAGGTTAGAATAACTCTTCATATACATCTGTTTATTTAGAGGGAAGCGTGGGTGCAGAAGTTACTCTACTTCAGTATCTTTATGTCTATTATTTGAGAATAAAAATTGATAAAATCTAACGTCTGGTGTTCTACAATAGATAAGTTAGTTGTGCAATTTTAGTCAGTGCTTTTGTTATAAAATACATTGAGTTCAATTGCATATTTCAGATTTTACACTTTCAAATTTTGAAATACTATAATAGAAAAAAAAAGTCAAAAATCATTTATTCCAATTAGACCTTTACAGGCACTTTTGAACGTCAAAACAAAATTTTGAAGATATCGTGTCAGTCTGTCGGTCAGTCCTCTTAGTGAAGCTATTTGCTCGTTCCAAAGTGTAGATTCCGATGGAGAAGAACGAGCAAGAAACTCCATGGTTACTCTTTTTAAATCAGTTTCACATACAGATTCCTTTTACAAACAGTTGGTTCAATTATGTAAAAAATATAGTGTATGTACGATCCACATTGTAAAGTTGTACACTAACGACCTGATGCACTTAAAGCACTTATGTATATTTGTACTTATTTTGTTTTGGGAAAAGCCCGCCACAGCATACAAAAACCGCTGCAACTCCTGTAAGCCAGGATCTACAGATTATTTAAGGAGAAGAAAAAACTAAATAGTTTCTACGTCCCTCGGTAAATTTAAGGAGACAGACTGCAGGTGAATGACTTAAACTTTAAATGTATATCAGTACTGTTTAGGGGTGAATTTCTAACATAACATATAACAAATTGTGTAGTTTAATTTTAATTAACTGGCAATACCTACATCCGTCAAGGGAACATTTTGTCTAATTTCTTGATTGGTTTATTGGTTAATATTGTCATTCAACAAAAACAAACCTAACGTAACATATTCACATTCACAAATAAAAAAGTTCTTATTCTGATTCATAACGGAACATTTTATTGCTGGGCAACACCTTAACAACACAAAATACAGAAAAAAAACCAGCCTACAAAAAATACTTGAGCTTTTATAATTGATACTATTTATAACTACTCTACCAGCGAATAGAAGTACCTATAATGTATATAAGTAATTCAACACCCCATATCACCCTTTCGATTAGTTAAGAGACAAAGGAGTCTGAAACAGCTTTTTCTCATCGCGCCGTTCCAATATTACTTTTCCATATTCATCAATCTCTTTGCATGCATCGTTCCCTGCTTGGACGGACATTTTTAATTTGGTCGTAGCACATAAAAGCGAAACTAAAAAACAAAATAATATCGCTTATCTATACTAAAATTATAAAGAGACAAAATTTGTATGTAGCGGGTAATCTATGGAACCGCTGGTCGGATTGCTAAAATTCTTATGTTACTGAGGCTATAAAACATCACGCTACGATCAAATGAAGCGGATCAACGGGTGAAACTGCGCGATAGTAGCTAATATTGTTATAAAGAATAACATCCTAATTTTATTTCTATTCATTAAGTAACAAAACTCAAAATTGAATACGTGTTAGGTACTAGTCCATATTTTTACAAGTTACACACTTTTCCTTTCCTATCTAAAATACTTCTACAAAAGGATAAGAATAGGATAAAGAAAGTCAACAGTCAGTGCATTTCGCTTGTGAATGGGTGGGCGTTACAGCGAATATGCAAGTATTCAAGAAATTATTAGGTTGTAGAATTCTATCCGAATACGTTGCTGGGTTCAATATAATGTGACAGACGAAGCTGATCCCATTTCGAGAGATTTATAAAATATTTTACATTGCTTGTTGCATAACGTCTTGTGAGAATTCCGACTGTTTCCTCGAAAAGGTAGCCAATACACTTATTGGAATTTACCATACTGTTTCAGTGTAGTATGAGTTGAGTTTGTAGACGATTTAATAAATAAGTTGGTTTTATACATTGGTACAGGTGAATACAGGGAACATACATACAGGTGAACATACAGGTGAATACAGGGAACATAAGGGGATTGTCGCGGTGGCAAGGAGGTTAAGCAGCCCACTTCTCATACATGAGGGTGTGGGTTCGAAACCTGGCAAGTACCAATGTGACTTTTTCCGAGTTATATGTACTTTCTTTGATTATTTAGACATCACTGACGTGAAGGTATACATCGTCAACCCGCATTGAGCAATCGTGGTGATTAATGATCTAACCTTCTCCGTATGAGAAGAGGCCTTTGCAGCAGTGGGCACTTATAGGCTGATGATGATGATGATTATACATATTTAAAGGTGATTAAAGAACATTTTCTTAACAGACTATGTTCATTCCTAACTAATAAAGACAATGGAGTACCACGACCACTCTACATTTATTTCTTCAACCGAGCAGATCAAGTCAAATGGCTAAATTTGGAAATAGAAGATGTCGTGGTAGAAAATGTAAATATCATGAACCATCTGCAACATTCAACTACTTTACATGAATGCTCCTTTCTAGGCTTGTCAGATGGGGACCTCTATTTTGACAGTCGGGATATCGCAGTTTCAAAGTTTAAGACTCATGAGAGAGTGTTACTTCCCAGTCTAACACCCGGTTTCTGAAAGGCTTGCCAACGCTAAAATTAACCAATCTCCTGTTAAATCTCTTGTCAAGTCATCTGATTGGTTGTTGATAATTCAGTAAACCAATCAGATGACATGACAAGAGATTAAATTGATTTTAACATTGATCGGCCTTTCGGAAACCGGGTGTCAGTCATATCATCAACTTACGCTCACGGGGATATTAGATAAAGAATGGACTTACCGACATCACAGACAAGGCTGCCGGGCTCTAGTTCAGAGAGGAAGGCCTGCACGCCAGGCGCGGGCGCTCGCGAGCTCTCGTCGCCGTCATCTCCTGCTTGTTCGTAGACGTCGTGCACGTACGCCCGCTCCAGCGCAGCGCCCCGTGCCGCCGACTCGCCCGCCCCCTCAGCCACCGCGCCCGCGCCGCCATCCGCCATCACCGCACCGCCATTGCACTGCGCTGCAACATTTCATATAATACTAATAAATCTTTTTATTCATATCAAACATTGTTATGTAAGTAAGTAAGTTACAAATTTATACTTGTGTTGGAATCAACAACAATTCTGCTACCAGCAGTGCGTAATGTCTGTACTAAAGTTCATGAAATCACCTGCATGCATGAAAGATTTGGATTTGGATTTTAGTTGTCATATTTAGTTTTGTTGGTATGTACTGTGTGTGTACTGCTTACGGTACATTTTAAAAGAACGTAGATAGAAAGAAACAATATAATTTAATAATTATATTCCATGACTATTTAATAATAGTCATGGATATAATATAATACTCGTCTTAAGTGGCAACTAATTCAAAATATTATTTCTTGATTAGCAGTAGGTACTTGTTTAAAATCTATGCCGTTGTAATTTGAAATTGATTATGATCTTGTATTCTTTTTTTTTTGTTTAAAAACATAAAGTAGTTAGACTAGGTCAGTGCCATACCGTTTAGGAAAAATTGCTAAGTGAAGTGTTTCAGTTCAATGACCACATTGACGTCAAAGCCATTTTAAAACGTCAAACGTTAAATACGAAGGCGTGACATGACGTTACATATGCATTTTTTATCTGTGACGCTAACAAAACCTTCCTATCGATTAAACTTCTAAATTTAAACGACACAGTTCGCGTGGGTTTCGCGCTACTGTCGTCATCTGTTCATGATTTTTTAATGCAATCACTATTGATGTTGCAAAGGCACTGATCGATAATCCTACCAGTGACTTCGCATGCACCTTTTTATAGAAATAATGACATAATTTGTCCTAGCAATTCAACGTAGACGTCATTCTGACGCAGTACCAAAGCCATTGCTGTCTTTTGCGTGGAAGTTTTTTGTTGAGAATAGTTTTAAAAAGTAACTAGCGACTCTCCGGCTCTGCACGGGTGTAATGCTGATACCTAATTTCGACCTTATGTAATTGATATTATTATACAAACATATCAAACTTCTTTTTAGCGTTATGAAGATTTAAGCATACATAGGGATATAGAGACAGAGAAAGCGACTTTGTTTTGTACGACGTAGTGATTGTGCTTCTCTGCAAAATGAAAAATATGGAGCATGAAATTTGGTAAACAGTAAAGGAAAACAATTCGTCGTCCAATTCATTTGATGTATTTCAAATAGTTCCTCTGTTTTCCCATTGTTGTTGTAACTGATCAGGCGGAGTTAATTACATTGCTATTATAAACAAAAGCTATGTTTAATTGTGTTTATCACGTGTAGCGCGACCCGCTGACCCGGGGCGTACCCCTTATCCCGGGACAGGGCTGCCACCCGGCGATATATTAAACGCGGAAAATTATTGGTCAATAGATAAAAGTATCTATTTGTTGTTTTTAATATATCTTTTGAACTCGATGACTTTTTAGATCAGATGATTGTAAATCATTTTCAGTTAACTACATCAGTCTTTGCGCACCAATGACATTTTAAAACCAAACAGTAATTTTTTTTAGCTTCGTTTTAATTTTCGACTACAATTCTCTAGGCAGCCCTATTCACCCGTTTCATGGACTCGCCCCAGCACCTATCAGCTTTTAACCCCATAAATCGCAACGGTTCGCAGACGTGACTATGCTACTTCCGAGTTCTCCTAAATTGAACGCCCCCCACTTTTTGCGCCCAACACTGGTAGCGAATTCCGCGAGAATTTCCCAAAGGCAATTTAGTGTACGCGATGTAGCTAGCTGCTGTTTAAATTGTTATTACAGAATGCAGATGTTTCGATTTCTTCCATTTTATTTTAAAACTGTAATTTAAATCGAATAGTCTTGGAATTTGGATATATTTCTTTTAATAATGCAGTGTGCCCGTTTTGTAATAGTTATTTTACATTCTGCCCCTGGACTTTATTGGATTTATACCCACGTGATTGGTGGTTACTAAATTATATATAATCAAAATTATATCACATCATCATATTTTATCATGTTTTATATGTAAATATAGGTACCTCAAAAGTAATGGGGACCGATACAGCGTTACGAAGAAACAAAACCATGTACATAAACTCAAAGCAAGAAAAAACTTTGTGACCATCCATAGCAGAAAAGTATTGTCCAACGAAATCCATATTACGACCGAGTATTATATTTATTTTATTGGCTGTAACATCAGATCTGGTCGTTAGTAAACAAAGAATCAAATAAAATATGTGACGCATGTGCCACGGGTGCTTGCCCGAAACATTTTATTAACAAAGTTTTTGAATCAGCTAAATGTTCGGGCTCTTAGCCGCCCTTAAATGTGGCGTCCTTTTGTAAGGACACCTATTTATAGGTTACACGAGGAAATCGTGGCTTCGTTGAAATGTTGCTTTGTGGTTTTCTGAATATAATTTTGTTTACAATCACGTGATATCTTTAAAAGTAAAACTATGGCCTACCAGCTTCATCGTGGCATGTTGATAAGAAGCCCACGTGTTCATCCAGGGTACCTATCTACGTACCAAATTGCAACTAAATTGATCCAGCGGTTTTTGCGTGAAAGCATAACAAAAACAAATGCATATATAGCATACAAACTTTCACATTTATAATATTAAGTTGGATTAATATTGATATGCGCAGTATCTATTTGTTCATTCAAAGCTTTACAAGCAGAAAGAAGTTCGTAAAATGGCGACGTGGTCACTTTCTATCTGAAGCATGATTTGTGTGGACAAGGCATGTATAGGTATATTTTTATTTGTTATCTCGATATTAAATAATATTTTGTTGAAGAAACAAACTGCTCCGATTTAGGTACCTTGGTGTACCTATAATTATAAAAAAATAATCTTATCACTCAATAAAAAACATTATAATAGGAACAAATACAAAACCTTATATCGATTTAAAATTTTGGACTATGTCTCTCGCCTACCCCAATCGTTGGAAGAGACCTTATATCTACTTACGGTGTGACCTACTTAGCGAAATAATTCTTAAAAGGGAACCCTGCCTAGCACTATCTATAAATAAAATATTTCTATTATTAGTATTAGTATTGATTTATATTTTGACGCCCCATAAGATGTGTTTTTGGCAGAAACTGTAACATGTCCAATACACTCCATTTTATCACATCAATCAAATTCCTCGTAGGTAAACAACAACACAGTTAATATATTTAATAAACATCCGTCTCCAAGGACTAATTTAACATAGTTTTGTATGATAGCACGTTTATAAAGTAATCGAATAGCCGGGGAGGGCGCGTGCTGGTTGCCTAGCAACGCATCTGGGACATAAACCGGGTCGCCGGGAAACCTTCAACCCAAGCCCGGGGTAACCGACTGAATGCACCGATACCATGTACGCGCCTCTGTTACTATTTGAAATTCAAAACGTTTTGGGAGTGGATTTTTAAGTTTGTGGTCCTATACACTTAAAATAGTTTTCTTCTATTTAATTTAATATTACTGGTTAATATGGGTGGTTAGATATAAAACTACATTTTCATTATTATTTAATGTAATATAAAACAAAGCCAAGGAGGTCAACCTCATGGCAGAATAGAAAAAACATTGAGGCCACAAATTAGCACGAGCATTATCAATATTACTGATCATTAAAAATCTAGACTGATTTGTTAAATAACTTGTATTGAGACAATAAATACAATATACGTGTACTAGTTATAGCTAGTTTTCCCAACAAAGCCGGGATTAGTGTGGGTCGCAATGCGCTGTGAGCTGCCTATCTGATAACCATTTGTGCCTTCGCGTTTTTGTATCTATTTGCCATAAAAAAACTGTGCCCTCTCGTATTTCCATCAACATCATTCGAAACGGATTAGTCTTCAAAAAGCGTTTATTGATTCCTGTTGCAGTTTGTGGCTTTACTTTCAAATCGTTCGACAATTCGTTTGACCACTAGTATTTCGAAATTGTGGTTCAGTTCACTTTTTTCTTTTGTTGTGTAGGTTTTTTCGACCTCAATCTGGCAACTGGTTAGTTTTTGAGCTCGATGTTCTTTGAGTTGGTTAATGGCATTTGTGTAACGTAATGATCGTACCAAAACTTGAAATTAATGTTGAACTGTTTAATCAGACCACAAAATCCTCAACATTCGATTTTTTTATGGCATAGGTCGGCAAACGACCTGATGACGGATTTCCTGATGGTAAGCAATCTACGCTGGCCATGGACACCCGCAACATCAAAGGAGTTAAGAGTGCGTTGCCGGCCTTTTAGGGATAATGATTTCGGATATTTAAGGATTAGGAAGGAATTGGGGGAGAGGGAGGAATTGGACCTTTGGTAACCTCATTTACACAACGCTGTGGTTGTTTCACACCGGTTTTCTGTGAGGTCGTGATATCACTCCGGTCGAGCCGACCCATTCGTGCTGAGCTTAGCTTAAATCAGATCACAGATAAACTGCTTTTGAAGCAAAACTTCCACATAACGAAATTTTCTGTTCTGTTGAATATAAAGAGCAATTTTCATTAAGGGCAAAGAAAATATGGAACCTAAATACTAAAAACATTAAGGTAGGAAGCTACGAGTAATAAAAGTAAATTACTGTACAAAACTTGCATGCCGTTAAATACACAAAAGCTGTTGTCTCCATACAAATTACCTTCACTAAGCCGAATGCTTTGTCATTTCACATTAATGAATGGTTTATACCTATACTGGGTAATCGATCGACAGGAATGAGCTGCCGCTAACGTATTTACTAGTTATTGTACAAAATGAGTCCGAGGTTTCATCGCCTATATCACTAGTAACTAAATTTTGTATCTAGTTGAAAATGAAATCATAAATTTATCAATTCTTAAAAAAGTTTGTTTAATCTAATAAATGTTGCGTTTCATCTAAAATTATTAAAGTTGCCATGCTTTTTAAAAAAGTAAAAAGGTTGGTCTCCGAAAAGTTTAATTAAATAATTTCTGATAGTAATTTTAAATTAACTGAGAATGGCATTACATGTAATATTTAGGTAAGTCAAAGACAGACTGAGAAACGATTGCTATACTAATAGCATATCTACGTATCATGTTGATAACAGTGTTGTAGCTAATATAATAGAAACTAGTTTAGGGCGAAATTTGTGCTGTCTATGGTCTAATTTAGACCATTGAACTACAATTTTTTTTCACAAAGCCAGATTTAATAGGTGGTACGAAAATATTTTGTTTTTTAGAATTAAAAATAAAGTTGGTATATGAACGAGCATTTGATTGACCATGATAAATTAACTATGATTATTATGCATATAAATAAATAATTGCATTTTTAATATTCGAACTAGGTACTTTTCGAAAATCCCAACCCGTACGTTATATCAAATATCTTTACGTGCAAGATCCGCAAGATACCAGGCGCACAGAAAACAGTAGGAGATATAAATATGAAAATGTTAAATTAAAACCTCGTTTGTGTGCATCGTTCGGTGGGGCGGGTCGACGGCCGCGCGACCTACTTGCAGCTGAAGCCGCGTGCTGCAGACATCCACCATGAAATATGAACGGAATCTGATACTGTTACAACGTGTCCATTTGAATAATATGGAAATAGTCTTTCATTTTCTTAACCGTCGAGTAAGGAATACTTTAGGTTGAGTTTCATTCGCTACCTATTAATTTTAGAAAGCCTATATTTTTTGCCACGGTTGCTATTCAATTATGTAGTTTGAAATTTAGGGCGCCCCAAAACAAATGTGATTCCGTAAATGGGTTGAATACTATAAACTTTTTGTGAAATATTATAACCTAACAGCGTATAAAACAAATTCATAACTTGTTAAAAAAAAACGGTCATAATTCTAAAATCACCATACCATGTCGAAATACAGAAACATAGCAAAACATATTTTAAATAAACCAAAACTTTTTAGTTGTTTCTTGACCAATGAGGTTCTATTAAAATAACCAAGGTGAAAGAAACACATATAAAAAAAAAGATATTTTAAAATAAGTACTAAAACGTTAGCGAATAGTTTTCAATCAACATTTTCACACTTTTGTAGAAGCAATAGTTACTCAGAATATTCTAGAATTCATCCTCCAAAAGCAGGATGTGTGCAATAAGGACGCAGTTATTGCACACACACATTGCATCTTCTACTTGCAGACTGTGAAGTCGTTTAAACTTTGCCGATGCTAGTGTTCCTCTTGTTCTACGCTTTGTTGCTTGAATATCATACTAGATACGAACCACCAAATTACTATTGATTTCTCTAAGATCTTTAGTTCGGATATTTGATGTATTTGAACAAAGAAAGTTGTGAGTATAAGGTATATGAAGAAAGTCTCTCTAAGAAGAATGACTCTTCTAAAAATGAAAAGATGTTTGACCTTTTGGCTAATTGTATTGTAAGTTTCATTGCTGTTTGAAATCATGACCAAAGAAATTTATGATTTTTATACCAACTATAGAAGAATTATCTTTATAAGTCTTACAAACAATAAGGTAATATGCAGTGTATATTTTCTAGTACTTATAATATAGAAGTAATCGTTTAAAGCTTTTTGTCCTACCTTCCATAATTATTCTTTTTTTTGCTCGCATGGTCCCAAATTATGTCCTTATTATACCCCACCAGCTAATATGAACTTACTTCTTACGAGCATTTTGGAACGCATTTAAGAAATTGAGTATTGAATATTAGCAATATTTTAGAATATCTATGGCGTTTGGCTGTCATAGTTACCGAAGCTATAATGAAGGTGCTAGATAATGTGCGTTAACTCTACTTAACAGTTTTTTTGGAATTCATTTATAAATAATAATCATGAAAATTAACATTCCGAATACCATGGCTTTTGTTCTGTTTGTGACTTTTGCTTCTAGTCAAAAACAAATCTGTATGTAAGTGCAGCTGAACAGAAATATCGCGGAGATCTTAAAATGATAGCTACCGACGCTGCATTACTATCGCCGAACACAAGCGATATATAACATGTTGCAGACACAGAAATAGCATTTTCATTTCGATGAATACAATGTGTAGGAGCTCAATATGGTTTTGACACGAAACCAGTTGAAGTTTTTGGGAAAGACAATACTTATTTTTTTTAGATCAATAAAAAGTAGAAGATATTGGAAAATTTCTTATTTCTTACTGACCGGGAAATCGATTTGAGATGGGAAACGTGATTATTATAATTATTGGTAGATTTTATTAAGGTTTCCATTTTATATTTTACAAAATGTTTTGATTTTATTAATGTTATTATTGTATAGTATACAAAATAATAAAACATTTTTAAGATGCTTTACTATTACTACATGGCTGGGTATTGGCGCCCAACATGGGTCTCTTAAGAAACCGCAAATTTAACAAAAGGATATCGAAGCTACATGAAGCTACAAACCGTATTAAACCTAAATAGTAACTCAGTATAAAATACATTGAAGGTTTTATTCAATTCCAATAGTTACAGGCAACGCTGTACTGGGCCGTTGCAAAAACTAAACAATAAAATGATTTTTCTTGGCAAATTCTGCAGCGTTTTGCAGATTCAAAGTTGAACGAACTGAGCTTGTCCCGGCCGACCAATAGGGCGTCCGTACGCGCAATGCGACGACCTCATTGGACGGTAGTGCATTCAAAAGACCTGCACATGTGACGTTTTTGGAACAATACCACATTATTTATTGTCACGTGTTTTAAACCGATACTTTTGCCACCGTTTTGGTAATAGCTAGTCAGAAACTATAGTTGTCACGTTAGTTGGATGTTTAACGACAGTTGAGATCGTATACTCGTACACAGCATTTTAAAAATAAGTGCTGCTTCTGAAATATTGGTTTTGTTTTCTTCACCTTAAAAAAAGCTTAAGTCTGAAGTATACTGGGCCTTGGTTTCAAACTAACATTAAGTTTTGTTTTAATATCCAACAAAAAGTTTTTACTTTAGTATCGTGTCTGTGCAGTAGACACTGTAGATTGTCATTAAATAGTTGTTTTGCAGTACATGTAAATCACTCGGCGTCGCCTATTTGGAACCGGCCCAGAAATCTGAATAGCTTAAGTTAATGCAAGCCATACCTTGCTATATTTAGGTCAATTTTACTTTGTTTTACATTATTTGCTTATGCGCAAAACCGAGTTAGCGAGTTTCGAAGATTTTGAACACCGGCAGTTGAAATATTACATGTTCCTGTAGTATTAAAATTTGCTTAAAGTTTACCAGTGCATTATTTAATTTGAAGTATAGTAAGTAGCAAATTCTGAGTTAGGTTTTTCTTCGTTATTATTTTCTATATTTGCTTTTTGCATATCGTAATCGTATCGTAATCGCATCTTGACTATTATAGTACCGTACGTTACAGATTTCTCCCGGCGTCGGGGATCGAGAAATGATCTCCGGCCACCATAAGCGCGGGTCTGCGGACGGCGAGTAAGGGTAGCTCGCCACCCGACCAGAACCAGACCCGAGTGTACGGCGCGTAGCGTTCCGCGCGCGCCTCATAGAGCCAATAGACCACCACAGACGGGGCCCAATAAGGCCGTTGTTCAGCCGGGGTTGCGGGGTAAGCGCAATGAGGTACCGCGATCTCGGCCCAGAGCAGGAGAAGGAACGGGATGGTTTGGAGTCAGTAAGGGTCTGACACTCCCTCCCGCCTTACCCTGGACGGGAGAAGTCATTTGATGATTTTCTTACAAAAAAAGCTCCATATTTCACAATGTCATTGTCACAAAACAATTGAAGCTTAAAAAAATCCATTAATAGCAAAATTTGCGACGCAACAATCTATTCATTTGACCATTTTCCCAGTTGATGGTACATGATGATGCGATCTTTGGAAATTTAATTAATAACATGGCGGATGGAGGCAGCGTCGAAATGTGTATGCTGTAACGTAATGGAACTCCATTTTGTCAAGTGTAACAGCTAATAGAAGACGCGACCGGTTAATAAATTGAATTCATGGTGATAAAAGATTCCCCATCTTTGAGTTTGAATACAATTCGAGCTTCTATACGTTTGAGTTCTACTTTCTTGGCCTTTTCTTAAGTATTGGGTGATTGGCCTCTACTTATGATGGCATTATTGATTAAATTTTCGCAGTATAGTTGTTAAGCATATGGCTGAAGATTCGAGGACCAAGTCAGACTATACAGGATGTATGTATAAGTCTTGGTGGCCCGCAGGTTAAGTCGCACGTTACTCATGCATGAGGATGGAGGTTCGAAACCAGGCAAATACCAATGTGACTTTTTCCAAGTTACATTTAATTTCTAATAAAATTTAGAAGCCAGTGACATACGGTGAAGGAAAAGATCGTGAGAAAACCTGGACTGATGATTTTTAATTACTAGTTTGAGATCACTAATCCGCCTTGAGCAAGTGTGGTGATTTATCCTCAAACCTTCTCCGTGTGAGAAGAAGCCTTTGCACAGCAGTGGGCACTTATAGGCTGATGATGATGATATAGGAAGTTTGCATACTAATAGTTATAGATTAACGACTACCAATCTTAAAACAAATGAACTGTTTTAAGTAGCATAAGTAATTGGTAACCTTTTATCAACAAAGTAACACAACTAAGGTGATCTATTTATATAGGAACATACACGAGGATGGGGAGTTTAATTAAGTGCAGGCTTGTCATAAAATGAAACAGTTACCCTACCGGGACGTGTAACAAATTCTCCAAGGACAGAGTGACATGAATGCAGCCGCGTTAGAAGACGTTCAATCCGTTTAGTGGCTGACAAGATTAGCCTCTCTAACACTCCCTCCAGCCTTATTCATAGTCAACTTGGTTATAACTGTATTCGTTTATATTCCGTTTTTGTATCAAACGATCCGTTTTTGTAATGGCGAATTTCTTATAGACATAATTCTTTATACGTATCGGAACTCATTGTCAAATCGCTCCTTTTAGAATATTGACTTCTGGTCCAAGTTTGTAAGTACAAATAAATATAAGGGTGTCAGTAATAATAAATAATAATTATATATATTGAACAATCTGGAAACGTGGTTAATGTTTGGTAAATAGTTCGCATACTTATGACCCTTTGAAGATGGAAAATATTATATGTAGTTGTAACCGAAATGTTATATTTTTAGCTCCATATTTAAATTCAATGAAACGATGAACCAATGTATTTATTTTTGTACTTTAGCACTTTTACACGTCAAAATTATACGTAAAAAAACTAGATGAAGCCGGCCGTGAATAATTGGAATAAATATTATATTTAAAACAGTAGTAATATGATTTTAACTGCACGGTTGGTGTGGTGGCTGGGCAACTGGCTGCCGTGCAACGTGTCGCGGGTTCGATTCCCGCACGGACAACTCTTTGCGTGATCCACAAATTGTTGTTCCGGGTCTGGGTGTCATGTGTATGTGAAATTGTATGTTTGTAACCGCACCCACGACACAAGAGAAAATCCTAATGTGGGGCAACGTTTTTTTAAAAAAGATAAAAGATAAAGATAGAGAAAAGTGATATTGTTTTATCAAGAAAAATAAGGTTAATAAGGTTAGTATGTGTTTTCAAAAAGTAACACCTGATTATATTCCGCATATTACAGTTCCACTCTTAATTAATAAAAGAAACTAACTGTGACATTTATTAATGTGCCATGTTAAACAAAAATATTGAATCTAATAAAGAAATGTTCGCACCATTTAAAAGTTACCATTCAGATTTGAAGGTGGATAAGGAAAGCGTAACAACTACTATTTCTCTAATTCATTATTCTTTTATTGTTGACGCCTTAACGATTTTAACCATGTTTAGGATATTTTTATTAGAATGGGCATTACATAAGTCTTGTAAAGAACAGTCGTTTATTTCAACATATTAAATGGGTTTATAGAACACATAATAAATTATTTTTTATTTTTTTATTTATAGAACTATTAAAAATTCCGAAGATTTCTCTTAAAGTTTATCACGCAAGGAACTTATTGATGATGAGGTTTTATTTAGTATGTTAGGGACATTGAAATAATAACTATTAATTTAGCACCTAGCTTCACAGACGAACAGACTGACAGACTACTATTCTATTTTGACATTAACTTTTACTAATTATTATTGAGAGACTGCAGCAATACATGTTTTGTTACTAAAATCAACATTAAAATGAATTTCAGAATTCTCGTAGAAGAAACTATATTGATAACAAAAGTAATGTTTGCACACACGGTTTGCACACCACAGAGTCCCACGGTGGGCGCCAATTTAAAATAATGGATCGCAGACTTTTTATATTTCACCAAAGTGCACCCGTCAGAATTCGGTTTGTGTTAACACAAAAATGTGAAGGTTTGCATCGTAAAATGCAGGAAAGCAAGACTGGACGAGCGTTATCTTAAAAGTATAGTCAAGATAAAAGGACGTGAAGGGGCTTTGTGAAGCACCTCAATATTTGACATTGAGCTTTTAAAATTTTTCACACTTCAAAGGGAAAATTCGAAGGCTTTTATGTAAGTGCATAGCGTTATTATTTACAGGTAAAGATGTGGGGCGCAAAGCCACTGTTTGTTATGAAATGTTATTTATTTTCAAAGTTCCTTTTCAGGGGCGCGCTTTGCTGTGATTCAGGGAATGACTTTTACTAGTTTGCAAGTCTTACGGCTTGTGTTGGTTTCTTTATACAAATT